TATTTTTGAAATTAAAAATACTGGAAGGATAGATATATTTATATTTAATTTAATGTTTACTTATTGAAAAAACATGAAAATTATACACATGTTTTTTTAAAATATAAACAATAACATATTAAAATTTTAAATAAAGTTATTATGTACATTTTTATATAATAATAAATTTAAGATATGTGATACTTTTGTTCATATAGTGTATGTTAAAAATATAAACTTATTTAATTTCGATAATTTCAATACTTTCAATTTGATATCAGTATTGCAAAGTTTTATGAATATATTATACCATTTTTGAAAAAATATCCAGCAATTTCAAGTTGTGATTACTCCATCTTCCAATAGGATAACATAAGATCTCATATTGCAAAAATTGTAAGAAAATTTATTGACAAAAATATAATTCAGATAGTGAATTGGCCTTTCAAAATCTAGATTTGAATCTAATTGAAAATCTTTGATTTGAAGTGAAAAGAATTATACATTATAAGCTAAAACCAAATAATCTTCAGGAATTTAATGTCATTGTGCAAGAGGCATGAAATGACATATCACTTGAGTTTTGCTATCAGCTGATTGTAAGTATGTCGAATCATATTATTGCTTGCCTAGAAATTATAGGAGGATTTATAAAATATTAAAATAGAATTTTTAGTAAAAAAAATTTAAAAAAAATTATAAAAAAATCAATTGTAATTTTACTTTAGTAAAAAAATCTATGTCTATAGTTTTTTTTGTATAACTCCTGCAAAATAAAATAGAAATATATAAAATTTTAGTATATAGTACCTTGATAGTTACTAAACATGTAATAAAAAATTGAAAAAATTAATTATTACAATTTTAAATAATTAAGTATAAAAAAGTATTTATAATAATATAATAGGTAGCTGTAAATCTTTTATGTTTTAATAAGTAAATATAAGAAAAATCTACTTATAAAATTAATAACAAAAATACTTGTTAAAAAAAAAACATAATAAAAAAATACTTTTCTTATTTTTTTTTAGAAATTTAAAACTTTAAAAGAAATAAACTTAACTTTTAAAACTTTAAGTTATTTTTTCTATTTTTTTTTTGTTTTTTTGAGCATATAAGTTTTTTTTCTATTTTTTTAAAGAATTTTGCTTATTTTAATTTGATTTTGAATTTTTTATTGCATTAAAATTCTTGAATAATAATTTGTTGAAAATTTGAATTAATTGATTAACAAATAGCAAGAAATATAAACAAGAAATGTAATTTTTATATTTTTTATTTTATACAATATAAAATAATATAATATAATTGATTCAAATAAAAAAACAAGATAATAAGATATTCATTTTATAAATAAATAATTAAATAGTTTTTTCTCTTGTGCTAATTTTGTTTCTTTTCAAAATTAAAAAAAAATTTATTTCAGATTCAATAATAAACCTTTTTTGTTACTAATTATTTCAAAAATTATTGAAAAAATAGAGCTTGGAACTATCTATTGGTTAAGTGAAGTTATAAATTTAAAAAAGTTAACTTGAAAGAAAAATCAATAATAGAAAATTAAATTTTTCTTAGCAAAAAGTTTTTAAGTATAAAGTTTAAAAAAAATATTCTTTTGGAAGGACCTTTAAACACTTTTAATTAGCAATAAGAATGATAAAAATTAAATAAATTCTTTAGCTATAGACAGTTAAACCAGAAATTGATTTAGAGAAGTTTTTATTTATTAATACAAACTTTTTAACTTTATATTTTTTTCTTTCTTAAATTTCTTAAAAAAACAAAAAAAAATTATTTTTATAGAACTATAATAGTTGTATAGAAATGACAGTCTTGAATAAGAACTGATTGTGATATTTTAGAATAAACAAGAAATATTTTCAAAATTGAGCAACTTTTTATTTTTCCACAATTACACTTAGAGACTATTGGCTATTAATGGATATACTGCATAGTGTTAAATAGTTTAGCCTTAATATATGTACTTGTATATTGGTTTTTATCCAAGATTAATAAACTAAAGTGGAATATAGCCTGATTTGAAGTAAAAAAATTAAAAAATAATAAATTGTGTCACATTATATGTAGATATTAGATTATGAGATAATAAATTAGTACCCTGGAAATTTTTGGTTTACTTTTTAAAAATAGTTACTCAATTATCAAATATTTTTGAAGCTAAAAATAAAAAATTTTGACAGTAAGCCTTATTATTAGAATTGAAAAAATTGTAATCAATAGCGCAATTATTAGAGCAAACACCATGATTAGGAAAATAAGAAATGATAAGAAAGATATAATCTGTAAACGTTGTAGTCATGAACGTTCACGCCTCAAAAACTTCATAAGCATCTTAACCGAAAATTCATTAGACAATATTTCCCCAATAATTTTATCTAAAAACCGAAACTATTTACCTAACCAATTTTAAACACTGGTTTGAAAACTAATTTAAATCAAAATTCTAATCACAGTATTACTGTCTCTAGTAAATTATCATCAAAAGATAACTTTAAAAGCATTTCAAGTTCTCCATAACGATTTATTACAAAGAGCGAGTTACTATTATATCTGAAAAGGCTATTAATACTAAACATATAACATATTCCAATTAAATTAAATTAAAATCTCAAATATCACAATCAGAAAATAAGCTTAATAAAACACAATTATATCAGGAAGCACGCCAAACTTGAATGTCTCAGTATGATCACTAGTGATAATGAAAAAAATATAGTATTTGGAGAGCAAAACTTGGGTCCAGCACCAAAAGACTAGCTATTGCTATACATAAAGCAAATGTTCCTAAGTATCATCCAGATAATGGAAGTGACATAAGAAAATGTTAGAGAGTCAAAGAAAATTATTTCGGGAATCGTTTGAAAAGGAGTTTGACAAACGTGGATACTTCAAATTTGCATTATGTTCTTTAACAAAATTTCTTATAGATGACAAACCAGATAATAAGGAAAAAGAAAAGAAAAGAACTCGCGAACGGACTGACTTAGAAATAAAAAAATTACAATCTATAATAGATCTGAAATATAATAGATGATTGTTTAAATGATGCTTTCGAACAAATCATAAGTAGAAGAAAGAGGAGGTAAGTTTAATATAATGTATTTAGGAGGTAACATTGAGTCTGGTGGGAGGAATAGTTCTTTTTATATCGCATGATCATTATACATACAAATTTTTAAAAAAAGTACTCTAGGTTTATTACAAAAATATTAGAGTTTTACCATCACTTATTGGCTAATAGTTTATATATTTTCTAATTATCCTGATTTGCTAAAACGACTCGTTGGATTTGGAACAAATCTATAATAAAATTAGGGGCAGTAACACCACCAGGGACAGTGATGACATACCCAACTGTAGAAGGAGCTCCCCTGACGATGGGAGGATTCCAAAATACATCTTGAGTTGGGATATTAACTTGATAATTAACAAGACCTGGTCCCGTACAGGCAGTAGGAGCACCAGTATAGTAATCAAGAGTACCGAAATTCCACTATAAAAATTTGGTAATACTGTATATCAGATATTTGACATTTGAATTGATTGCAATAATACCAATGGCGTGCTAATCTTACCTCTTCATAATACACTCCTGCCTGTCCTGCTACTGCTATGTGACTTCCTGGTACCGGTGCTGTCTGACGTGTCCAGAGTCTAGCCTTAATATTAGAAATAGAAAAAATTAAAAATTTCGAAATCATTAAATAATAAATAGGCCGTATAACACGTACAATCATACATCGATCCAACTGTCCGTTTGCATTTCGTGTAGCTCTTGGACTGTAAATTTTAACTCCGAATACGCATCTCACGTATTGTTGTTGCATCCAATGGCTACACTTTGCATTCCAACCATTCCGACCCCCATAACTTTGCGACACTGCGATTTCGCACATGATTCTTGCGTGGGGTCTTCCCTATACAGTATAATTAATTACGTTAAGACTAGGGAAATTAACAAAATCTGATATGACCGAACTAACCGATTTGTCAACTGGGGGAATCTCATCATGTCGGGAAGTTCTTCGAGCGGTTCTACGAAATCTTAGTCTACGCTGTGGAGGTGGAGGTGGAATTGGAGGCTTCGGAATAATGCTCAAACCTGGATATATAGCAATATCGGGTGCCGATGGTTTCCCCCTTCCACGCGGTTTATAATGAGCTATTATAGAATGAGTAAGTTATAAAGTTGATAGCAACCCAAAGGAATCTTTCCTACCTGCGTTACATGTAACATTCATCGGGGGATTAATGATATCTCCTCCGCTAGGAATTTTAAAATACGATAGAAGCTGTTCGACAACTGTAAAGTGTTCTGCTTTTTCCAACTCGACTATAAATACGTTTCCCTTTAAATCGATATCAAATTTATACCCACGTGTATCGTGGCTTTCAAAGAATGCATCAATTTGTTCTGCCGACAAATTCCAGCCTATTTGTATAGGAAAACTATCATACATTTCAATACTGGGTGAAACGTAATCCATCTGTGTGTTGTTTACTCACATCTCTTTTAGAGACTTTTTCACGCTTTGAAAATTTTTTTCTAGAGGCAGAATTCGATTAATCATTTTTTTTAAACCAATATTCTTAAATTTTTATTTATGTATTAAAAAACGATATCGTCATTATTTTATTTTATTATTTTATTCAGGTTAAAGGTTACACAAATAATTTGATATCATAGTTTGTTCAAGGAAAATAAATGCAGAATTTATTATATCAGGTGATACGTCTGGGATATCATCGGCCGCACGCGTTTTGGTGTTATTAATTAAGAGATAAGGCCTAGCTCGAGGGATCACTATATAAGGGTCTTCATAATACCATATTCGATAAGTAATATTCCTGCTTTTTGACATCCTTTTGGTTTATGGAAGCATTTATGTTGTATATATCTTGAATTTCAATATTGTGTATATCAAGTTCAAGTCCTAATGAATAATCAGGCGTTTCTACAAACATCAGATGATGGGCCTCATAATTTCGTTGCTATTTTCTTACTGAGTTCTTGTCTCTTCCATGAACAAAATAGACACCGTGTATCTAAATTTTTTACTTTATCCAGAGTTGCATATCATTCATTCTTAATTTTAATGCGCACCATTACAGTATACATTTCAGTTGCATTACCCGAACAGCGAGGACACTATATGTTTAAATTTTTTACACATTTTATCATTGATGTTCTCTTCATTACATTCCCATAAAAGCAAAGAGTCGATATCAATATACTTTTTTGTTAAATATTTTCCATCTTTTTTGAGCGCAATTTCTTTAGCAATGTCATTAAGTTTAAATAAAACATCCTGCATGTTGAGGACACCGTGAATTTCAATTTTTTATTTAAAACCGTGTTTAAATAAAGATAAGGTTTGATAGTATGTAAATGTAATTTGATTGGAAGATTGTGTGATAAAATTTTGAGATAAAAGTTATATATAATAGATTCAAGAATATTTATAGGTATTAAAATTGAATTGAAAAATTTTAATATATTGAAAAGGTTTTTGAAGTTGGGTTGAAAAATTAATTGGATTCTTTTTAAGTTTAAAATATTAAAAGCTCTATAAAAATGATTAATTTTTTTGATATGTTTATGAATTGAAGTGAGAGTTAAGCTAAAATAGTTAATTAATGAGTAAAGAATATATTGAGTATTAAATTGCAGATTTATGGAGATAATTGTGATATTGTGATGTAAAGGTGAGTTTTGTAAAGGTTTGTAGAAAGTACAATATGTTTGAAAGAATTAAACTGTTTATTTTAGATTGTTAGTTATAGTGTATAGAATTTTACAATTAGTATAATAATTTTTAAAGTTGTAAAAAAATATTGTATTTATTTTGATCTATGGATCTATAGTGTAATGGTTAATACTTCACAGGTCAAGTCATAAGATACTAGTTCAATTCCAAATGAAAGTAATTGAACAGGACTTATATAATATCTGGTACTATAATCTATTAAGTATTGTTTCTTATACAAAGCTATTTCATATATTGACCAATAGGTATTAAGATTGTGTTTTTTGAAAAAATATAATATAACAATTGTCTGATTGATATTATAATAATTACCAGAAGCATGTCAATAATGGTTAAACAATATAATAAATCAAAAGAATATATGTTTAACTTTCTAATCAAGACTTTTCTTATATTTAAATATATAAATTGAACTGTATTTCATTCTAATATATTCTAATTCTCTTCTTTTAATAATAGTTAGAGCTTTAGCCTAGGCTATTTTAATCTGGTGCAGAGTCTAATTGGTTTAAAAAATAATTAGCTGCAAATAGTAAAAATAATAAAAAAAACAAGAGTATAATCCAAGGTCTAATTGATAAGATAAAAGATATTTGAACTAATTTATCTAATTAAGATTTCTTTATATAAAACTGAATTATATAGGTTAAATAGTTTAAAATAGTAGTAGGATTTCTATATTCTATAAGTTTCACCTTAATATTATATAGAAAATTTCTCAAAATGATAGGTTTCTAAATATTAAAAATAATGTGATATATAAAAGATAATTTGTATAGAGTATAAAAATACTGACTTGTATAAGTTTTAATTAGTTACTTAAAATTATTATATATAGACTTATATAATAGGCTATTATTGTCTTGTATAAAAAATCATATAATAAAAAACATACAATTATTATATTTAACAATTTAATATATATATTATTTATTTTATAGTTTTTTTAGAAAATATTAAGATTTTTAATAATTTAATAATAATAATTATTTAGAGAATTAAAAAAAAAAAATGAAATTAGATTATAAGAAATTTTATTTATAAATAATTATTATTTAACAAGATCTAATTAATTAATAATAATTTTGTTTAATTTTTTTTTAGTTGTTAAATAAAAAAAATTTTTGTTTAATTTTGTTAAATAATTGAATATTAATTTATAATATAATTGGAATTTAAAGATTTTTTTAATTAAGAATAATTGATATATAAAGAGAATAAAAATAGTAAAAATATTATAAGAAGATAGTAGAAATTTATATTTTATTAAATTAATAATATTTTTAAAAGTAAAATATATTTTATACAGTATATAAAGAAATATAAAAAAAAATAAAATTTAATTTTTTTATTTTTAATTAATAAAAAAATAAGATATTTAATTAAAAAAATAATTAATATATTTGATTAAGATAAGAGATCTGTTTAAATTATTAATAAGTAAATATAAGTAATAGTTAATAATTATTTGATTTTTAGAAATAGTTTTTTGTTTTTTTAATTATAATTGAATTGAAAATTTTTATTACTTGCTAGTTTCTTTTTTTATTTTTTGAATATTTGTTTGTAATAGCTATTGTATTAATATTTAATATATAAAAGTATTTGGATTTTTTATACTATTGTAAAATTTTGTTTTAAGGATTTTTTTTCTATATAATTACTTATATGATTTTATTCTATAAATTGTTTATTTTGAAAAACTAAAAGTTGTTCAAGATAAAAAATTTAATATTTAATAAAAAGCTTTAAGATATAAAATTAATTTGAATCTTAAATAAAATTGTAAAGATTAATTATTTCTTTTAAAAGTTTATAGTTATATATTGAATTATTGCAAAAATTGATTTTATATTTATTATTACTAAAATTTTTAAAATTTTTATTAACTTTAGATAAATACAATCATATATTATCAACATTTATTATTATTTATTATTTTTAGCTATATTTTCTATATAATATTTTTTTCTCTTTAAGAATTCTCAAAACATCTATATAGTTTTAAATGGTACAGCAAATTTAAAATGTCATAGCTAGGAATCACGAAATATCCAATTTGAATCCATATATACAATTCAACAGATGATCGACATTATGTATATATATAAAAGTTTATTGTAAAATTAATCAAAAAAGTGAAAAACGTATATCAATTGGCAACTTTTTAAATACCTAGCCAAATTCAATGAAACATATATCATTTGAATTCTCTTATTGCAGGGAATCAAATGGTGGTAAAGTCACAAAATTCCAATAACAGGTTATTTAGTTATACCTATTTTTAATAATTATTTAAAATAATTATAACTTACCAATCAGTAATTAAAATAATGTAACTTTACCACCATTCGATTTCTTGTGATGAGAGTATTCAAATGGTATATATTTTGTTGAATTTGACTGGATATTTAAAAAGTTGCCAATTGATATACATTTTTTACATTTTTGATTGATTTTACAATAAACTTTTTATACATATGCATAATGTCAATCATCTGTCGAATTGATTCAAATTGGATATTTCGTGATTCCTAGCCATAGCTCAAAATCTTAGTTATAAAGATTTTTTAAGGTTTTAAGCAACTATTTGTGAAAAGACTAGAAAAACAATTTTTGTTATTAAAATAAGGATATTTTAAATAATTTCTTTTTTTCTTTTATAAATAAGAATTTTCTTTAATAACCATTCTAATATAATAATTAATTATTTAGTCAAATATTTTATATAAATACAATGTGACACAAAAATAATTGCATTGATATTTTTTATTATAATTTAATAAATAATAATTTAATTGAGATAAAACTTTAAATATATATTTTTTATTATTTAATTAATAAATTTATTCAAAAATATTGATTTGAAATCAAAAAAAAATTTTTTTTAAATGTATTATAAATTTTATATATAAATTTATATATAAAATATGAATATTAATTAAATTTTACTATAAAAAAATTTTTAAAAAAATTAAATAAGCAGCTTATAAAAAAATTATAAAAACTTATCATTATATTTAATAAATGTTATTAAAATTGATTTATTTTTTTATTATATAAAATTATTTTTAAAAAATATTTAAACTCTATATTTAATTTAAAATTTGTTTTTTAGTAAAATTTAACTAAATTTTAAATTAATTATTAAATAATTTTTTATACTTAATAAAAAAATAATAATAATTGTATTATTATTATTAGGACCTTTATTTATTAAATATATGCATTAAAATAATTTTAATAATTTTTATTATTATTTTTTTTTTTATTTTTTTTTCCTCAATCAGGTTGATGTTGTTTATTTATTAAATCAAATGAACCATTACAAATATAGGTTGTATGTATAAATTTCCCCGACCCAGTTCACTCGTCTGTGACAAAGAGTCTCTAAATGCGATTTATAGGGATGATATATTGCTCGTCCATTAATTGGGATTAAGATCTCATTTGTTTAATAAAGTCAAAGCCTGCAGATCATCTCTACAGATCATATTCCATAAACCCAGATTGAGTTTTTATTTAAGTGCTAACCATTTTTTCCCACTTTCTATGAATTCCTGTATTAGTTCTTTGATCTTGTCTAGTCTATTTATATACTCTTCCATCTTGTACCTTATCTTTTCTCCCTTTTCTTTCTTTTGTTGTTCTGATTGTTTGATAACTGGGTACTGACGACACTGTTGATTTCCATGGGCCTGGAGATATAGTTTTTCAAGCTGAGGTTCATGTCTGAACTAAGTTCTGTCGATGATAAAGGAGTAGGCCTTTTCTTGATCTTTAGGTTCAGACTCATGATCCGATTAGTTGCTATTGTAATGCTGCACCTGTGTCTCCACATCGATTTTCTGAATTGCTTAAAGAAGCTGATGGAAGTCTTGCATAACAATTGCCGGGCCTTAAATTGGAAGATCTTGGTATTTGTTTGTTTGCAGATTTCTGTGATGTGGTTCTCCGATATTAGTCTGATTGCAAAGTTTAGCCTCTCATTTTTTTCCTGAAACACTTTTTATATAAGGTATGTTGTGACTGTGTCTAGATTAGTTGTCTCTAGTATATATGTTGAGTTTTTGCAAGCTTTTTGGAGATTTCTTGTAAGCCTTTGCATGGCTTTTGACCATGCTTCGCTAGTATGTT